AGGCTGATTTTTCCCGCCCCGCCCCCCCCCCATTCCACCCCCCAAGGGATACTCGGCTGCTCTCAGCCCTCCTTGCTCCTAGAACGTATTCAGTCCACGTTGGGCCAGTTTCTTTCCCTGGTCTTTTCTTTGGGTTAGCTTACGAAGCCACACATGAAGCTGCCCGATACTGAGCCAGACCATCGGTCCGTCAGGGTCAGCATCATCTACTCAGACCGGCAGCGGCTCTCCGGGGTCTCAGGTGGAGGTCTTTCACAATACCTGCTGCCTCAGTTTGGTGTCGTGGTTAAGTGCGCGGACTCTAATCTGGGAAAACCGGGTTTGATTCCCCACTCCTCCACTTGCAGCTGCTGGATGACCTTGGGCGAGCCACAGTTCTGTCAGAGCTGTTCTCGCAAGGACAGTTCTGGAAAGAGCTCTCTCAGCCCCACCTCGCTCACAGGGTGTATGTTGTGGGGAGGGGAAGGGAAAGGAGATTGTAAGCCGCTCTGAGATGCTGAGTGAAGGGCGGGGAATAAATCCAGTCTCCTCTTCTTCTCTTCTTCATCCTTTTTCAAAACTGGAGATGCCGGGAACTGAACCTGGGACCTTCTCCATGCAAAGCAGAGGCTCCTTCCACTAATCCACTATTTTTTTCTGCATACCTTCATACCTCCCCAGTATAAGGAGGCCTCTGCCTTGCCTGTAGGTGGCCCGCTTTTGCCCTTTCATAGTTAGCACAGCAGGTTGGCAGGTTTGCCATTTGTTATAGTCACGCAACGGTCGTCCCAAACAAGCGCACGCTATTTTTTTCTTTTGAATATTTTATTTCTCCTGTGCAGACTTAATTAATGTATAGATTAGTCAACATTCATATGATTCATCGGCTGGAGATTCCTTTTTAATTGCACGAAGGCCCCAGTTTTGTTGCATCTGAGCTTAATGAGGCGCGTCCCCTTGCTGGCAAACAGAACAGGAATTCTATTAACGTCCAAGGGGCAGTGGGAGAAGGCCCTGGATTGGGGGGGGGGGACTGAAGAGAGGAGTGACAGAAACGCCTTGGTGATTTGGAGGCATGGAAATTTCTCCTGTGGCAAACTGGCCCCTGGGGATACACTGTGCCTGGACATACACTTGTTGAATGTGCAATGCTGGAGACAGAACAAACAGTGCTGAAAGAGCTCTGCTGTGATTAATGCTTGAATTTCCTAATCCCCTGTTCTGCAGCTATTCGGCTTGTACTGACCGTAACAAAATTGCATGTGTGCTTGCCGTTTTCCCCAGAGGACCGGTGGGTTAATACGGCAGGAGCTGGTTCACCAGGGGTGGAGAGGGAGGCGGAGATGTTGCTAAACCTCTGGAGTGAGAGGCACAAAATTTGTGGGGGGTGGGCGGGATCTTGAGGAAAAGGAAGGCATTTAAGAGCAGGGGTTGTGGCTCAGTGGTGGAACGTCTGCTCGGCATGCAGAAGCTCCTAAGGTCGGGTCCTCAGTATCTCCAATGAAAAGGATTAGGTCGTGGATGATTGCCCTGACCTGGGTAGCCCAGGCTTAGCCCAGTCTCGTCAGATCTCGAAAACTAAGCAGGGTCGGCCCTGGCTAGTATTTGAACGGGAGACCTCCAAGGAATACCAGGGTCAGGAGGCAGAGGCAGGCAATGGCAAACCAGCTCTGAACATTCTTGCCTTGAAAACCTTACAGCAGGGGTGTCAAACATGCAGCCCGGGGGCCACATCAGGCCCCCCCTGGAGGGCTTCTGTCAGGCCCGCAGTGGAACTGGCTGTCTTCTGCTTCTGCTTCCAGTTCTGCTGCTGCTGCTGCGTCATCGTAGGTTTGCAGCTTACAGATACACACCTGAACAGCATACTAAAGATTGCAACAGCACAGAGACATTTTGATGCAGTAATTCAGAGCAAGAGGTGTCAGTTATCGGACGCTGTTCAATAAACAAAATATTGCAGGAGAGTTAATGTTTTAAGCATGATCTTAAGTAAAAACCCCTTTGTGTTTGTGTCTTTTATAAAGTTTATATCTCCGCTACCTGGCATTACATTTTATGATGCACATGGCCCAGCCCAACAAGGTCTCATTTATGTCAGATCCGGCCCTCATAACAAATGAGTTCGGCACCCCTGCCTTACAGGGTTGCCATCTCTTTGTCATGAGGCTTGATCAGTCTGTTGTCGTCTAAGTGAGACCCCTGGTGTAAACAGGGACCCTGGTCACAAGTCCGCCTGTATTCTTCTCTGCTCTATTTCTAGCACCTATTTTACGAGGACCTTCTGACATTGTTCCAGAGGGAACTAGCTGTGCCTCACCAGTCACTCTTCTCCCTTATTCCCAGAGGGATCGAGTGGGATAGACAGCCGCTATAAAGAGTGAATACCAAAGCCATAATTAGCCTTGCAACTGATGGGGGGGGGTGGGCTCAGTGGCCTTCCACATGACAATTAGTAAAATTAGAATCCCAAAGTAGTCGGCTGGCATGCTTGGCCTTCTTTCGGCGGCACAATAATAAATAGGTTTTTGTGCCGCAGTGTCTCCTTAACATGAGCCCTTGAATGTCTTCTAGCGGCTTGATGTGAATTTAACAAGCGCTGGCCGTTCGGCTGCCTTTGTTAAGGAAGACGCGGTTGTTGGTATTCAGTGTGGGATTCTCTCGTCTGCTGTCCAGCACTAGCCGCCGGAGGGAGGAACTTGAGAAGGAAAACCGAAATCAGCTTCAGAGCCGCGGGAGGCCAGACATTTGCAGGGTCCTCAGTCCTGGCCGCCATTCTTAGGGCCAAAGGATACACCATGCACAGTTGCACGCTTCGGTCTCAGGAAAGGCCTCATTTCCTTTTGAAAAGCAGCCTCAGGTCTGACGACTCGGATCGATCAGGAACGGAAGGATGGCGGCGAAAGGCTCCTTAACAGTTTCCTTTCCTCCCAGTTCTCTTGTAAGCAGTGTTCCCTCTAAGCTGAGTGAGTGTGAGCTAACTCGCCTTTTTTTTAAGCCTCTGGCTCACACATTTTTTTTATCTCAGCTCAGGAAGGATGGCTCCAGAGCAAACTAATTTATACAACCAAATCGCCCGCTTGCAACTTTAACGCCAGTCGCTCACAAAGTAGAATTTTTGCTCGCAAGGCTCCACAGCTTAGAGGGAGCATTGCTTGTAAGCTGCTTTCTCACCTGTGTGTGTGTGGGGTGTGTGTGTGTGTGACTTTCTTCCGTGTGGAGAAAATCTGATCGTGGAGGGTGATTTTGGCTAGACCTATCGGCCCAGCCTTCCCCCACTCTCCTATTTGCAGCAACGAGGGGGCGGGGGGGGGGCTTTTCATTTAAAAAAAAAAAACTGGTGAAAAAAATCATGCAGAGGCACATAATATTTAGTTTGGCCCTCTCAGTGCAACAGCGCAGTCAGAGGCAACGTGGGACACTCCTTAGGTGCGCATCCTGCCTCTTCTTAAGAGGGCCAGCCGAAGGTGACTTGCCTGCAGTGTTCCCTCTAAGCTGAGTTAGGGTGAGCTGGCTCACAGTTTTTTAGCCTCCAGCTCACACATTTTTGTCTTAGCTCAGGAAGGATGGGGTTCCAGAGCAAACTAATTTATGCAGTAGCCAAATTGCCCGCTCACAACTTTAATGCCAGCAGCTCACAAAGTAGAATTTTTTCTCACGAGACTCCACAGCTTAGAGGGAACATTGCTTGCCTGATGATCCACAAAGCTCCACGATGAGCAAAGTATGGTTCATGGAGCCCGGTGTACAGTTATGGGGGGGGGGTGTTTTGATGTAACTGTACAGATGCTGCACTTCCATTCGCTCCTTGCGGCCGCCACCACCATCCTGTGCCCCCGTCCTCTTTTGTGTCTTCTCTGTGTAGAGAAGCCACCTGCCACTGGGATGTGGGTTTATGGCAACGAAGACAGGAGACTTCGCCACCTGGTGGCACATGCAGGCAACCCCACCCCACCCCCGGAAGTAGCTAGACCAGTTGAAGTTGGAAGGGTGACTCTTACCCTGTGGATTTGACTGTGCAACACTGGGGGGTCCAGCTGGTCTCGTGCGCCGGATCGGTGGGGGGGGGGGGGGAGTCGCCTGGCTCAGTGACACCTTTGCATGCAGAAAGTCCCAGGTTCTGTCTCTGCCATCTCCAGTTCAAGTATCTCAGGTAGCAGGTGTTGGGAAGCAGTGTTCCCTCTAAGCTGAGTTAGTGTGAGATAGCTCACAGTTTTCTAGCCTCCAGCTCACAGTTTTTTAGCCTCCAGCTCACATCTTTTTGTCTTAGCTCAGGAAGGATGGCTCCGGAGCCATCTAATTTATGCAGCAGCCAGATCGCTCGCTCACAGCTCACAACGTAGAATTTTTGCTCACAAGACTCCACAGTTTAGAGGGAGCATGGGTTGGAAGAGCCACTGCCAAAAAAGGAGGCACACTGAACTCCGTGCCCTAGTGGTCTGACTAAGTATAACTCAGGACGTAAGACTGCCCCCTCCCCACAGCATTTTCCTCTCCTGAAAGGCCCAAGGAAGCCACGGTCTTTTCCGCTGGGGAAACTTGCTCGCAGCCCTCACGCACAGAAGTTTCCCCGGTGCGGCCCATAGCAGCTCCCCAGGGCCTGAAGAAGAACTCTGGGTGACTCAAAAGCTTGCGGATTGTTTCCCGAGCGTCACATACTCTTTATTTTTTTTGCTGTCGCCGTGACTTTGGAGGGGAATGTTTACAGCCGGGCGACTTCCTCGTCTAATTGCCAAACCTGAAATGATTTTACACATCCTCCCGATGCTTATAAATAGCTGCCCTTTGGAAACAGCAGCCGAGGATTGCCGAGCGCAGCGCTCTGGCATCTCGAACGATAAAACATCGCTGGGAGGAAAGTTTGACATCACGCCGACATCACGGGGCACGCTGTGTGTTAACACTTGGGGGACGGGTTTCCAGGAGGGGACCGCCCAAGGGTGTCTCTGCCGCAAAGGGGTACGCGCAGACGGCCTCGCTTTCAGCCCGTGGCTTATTGCATCCATCCTGTCTGTTTCTCCTAGCAAGCCCCTCGCGCCATAGTTTATCGGAGTGGAGGATGCAGAGCATCGCCAGGGATTCAGACGAGAGTTCGGACGACGAGTTTTTCGACGCACACGGTAGGTGGAGCAAAACGAGTGCGGCTGCTAAATCGGCCTGGGTGTGAACGGTCCGTGCACATCTGTGCGCGCACGAGGGTGTATGTGTGAGACGGGAGAACTGTCTCTTCTTACTCGGAATGGTGTCACATCAGGAGCAGAGGCTGATCTGCACCCGGGATGGAAAGCCAGGCCTGTGTTTTCTCCTCGGCAAGGTCCTTCTGCTGAATGTGGGTACTTTTCATGCTCACCGTGATATGCACGAATTTGTGTGTTTGTTTCCTTGTGGAGAAGACCCCAACATTTCCTTGTTTGGTGCAGGAAAAAACAATCTTTTCAGTGGTAAAAAAAAAACCCCAGAAAAATAATCATCGGCAATTGCTGCTTTTTTATGGCACCCCAAAACCTGAAGTTCAAGACCGGTCATCTCACGGCAGGGACAGCCCTGTTTTCTAGGTACAACGATCTTGCAACCAGCAGATGTTGTGTTTCATTATAGGGTAGGTTGCGGGAGGATCTCTGTTCGTTAATGCAAGAAAGCCGTGGCTGCTGTTGGCATCGGCAGCTCATCCACTTCGGTGTAACGCAATAGTCTTTCCGTTTAGATGGATTAGTAAGAAGATTATCACTGAGTGCCGTAAGAACCGTGCACAGTGATTAGAATGCGACGCTCGGGCTAGGCAGGCCTGGATTCACTAGGTGACTCGGGAGCCAGTTTGGTGTACTGGTTAGGAGGGAGAACTCCAATCTGGGAGAACCGGGTTTGATTCCCCACTCCTTCACCTGCAGCTGCTGGTGAGACCTTGGGTCAGTTACAAGTTCTTTCAGAACTGTTCTCTCAGGAGCAGTCCTCAAAAGAGCTCTCTCAGCCCCACCTCCCTCACAGGGTGTCTGTTGTGGGGGAGGGGGAGGGAGAGGAGACCGTAAGCCGCTCTGAGACTCTTTTGGGTAGTGAAGGGCGGGTTTAAATTCAGTCTCAGTGAGGTCAGTCACCGATTTTCGAAGTTATCTAAAAATACTAGCTGTAGTAAAACTAAGAAGAAAATCCCCCAGCTCTCTCAGCAGCAGTGTTCCCTCTAGCCTGAGTTAGTGTGAGCTAGCCTCTGGTGCACACATTTTTTGTCTTAGCTCAGGAAGGATGGCTCCAGAGCAAACTAATTTATGCAGCAGCAAAATCGCTCACTCACACCGTTAATGTTTTTGCTCACAAGACTCACAGCTTAGAGGGAGCATTGCTCAGCAGAGTTAGGATCTGAAAGCCTGGAACAAAAAATCACAGGTGCAATATGAATGGCAGAGGGCTGAAATTTGACCGTAAAGCAGCTTTCCTTCACAGCCACAAGTTGATTAAAAAACCTGGTTCAAGCACATTTAAAGTTGCCTGTGTATTCACACAAGATGGGTAGCCATTGTTAGTTTGTCTGTGGCAGCAGAAAAGAGTAAGAGTCAGGGGTCGTTTCCTGCAGGAGCGCACAGGAGCGGAGCTCCGGCAGTAAAGAGCCCAGGGGGCGGGCACATGCAACAAGCCCCACCCCCTGCTCCCAGCAGCCCTCAGTCAGAGCAGGAAGCAGCCAGGTAAATTGCAGAGCCCCCTCCCGGCCCCCGGCCCAAAACAGTCCAGTGGCACCTTTAAGGCCAAGTTTTATTCAGGTACCAGCTCTCCCTCCTCTGCTAGGACAGATCTGCACGTGTGTCCCCCCCTCCCCCCCCAATAGCTAGCAATCCAAAACGGTCCAGTGGAGCCTGAGCGGTGGGTGTTGCCTTCTGACACACTTCCGGTGATGTCAGGGTGTGTGGCATATGCAAATGAGTTATGCTAATGAGCTCCTGCACCTCTTTGTCTACGAAATGACCCCAGTAAGCGTCCAGTAGCACCTTAAAGACCAACAAAATGTGTGGCAGGAGACAAGCTTTCGTGAGTCACTGCTCACTCCTTCAGTTTATTCACGCATCAGAAGAGCAGTCCTTGCACATCCGGAGCTGACTTTCCGTTTTCCACACATGCACGCCGACGGAGGCAGAAGGGTTGAACGGGCGACACATACTGAATTCAGCCCTAGCCCCGAGCCTGTTTCGTGTGGTCGATGGGAGGATTAAATGGAAAATCCCTCCTGTAGGCCGCCTCAAGGCCAGCATAGTATAGTGGTTAAAGAGTGGCAGACGCTGATCTGGAGAACTGGGTTTGACCTCCCCACTTCTCCCTACACATGAAGCCAGCTGGGTGACCTTGGGCCAGTCACAGTTCTCTCAGAACTCTCTCAGCCCCCACCTTACCTCACAAGGTGAGGAAGGAACTGCGATTGTGAGCTACTTTGAGACTCCCTAAGGTAGAGAAAAGCGGGATATAGAACCTACTCTTCTTCTCCAGAGGAAAGGTAGGATGTAAATATAATCAGTAGGAACGAGCACATAAATGAGTACGGTAATGAGATCCGAAGGTGTAGTTGTCAGGAGGGCTCGAGGCCTCGAACTTTTTCCCCTCGTAGCTGAACCAAGGGTAAGGCTAGGTGTCCCATTTAAATAATAATAATAATAATACCTTTCGATTTATTGATCGCTCAATCCGGCAGAGCTGCTGGCTCTGAGCGATTTACAATCACATGGTTTCACACAAGGGACTAACAATTTCATAAGGGTAAGGGAGCACAACATATAATTCTTTAAATCGCACACATTTTGCAGCCAACGGGGATTTTTGTTCAGCTGAAGGCTTCAGACGTGTTCCGGAGGAATTCACTTTTCGGCTTGGCTTGATGACGTTGGTTCTTCCTGGGCTGCTTTGAATCGTAGCGCCGCACTGCCACCGCCTGGCCGGATTGGCCCATTACAGGCTTCTTAATGCTGAAGAGGTCTTTTTATCAGGCTTCCGAGCTTCCGAGCTGGACATTCCATTCGCCGGCTAACACCTCCCCTGCGGGGGTTTAGTGTGCCCACCCTCTCTAAGGAGTGGTACCCATTTTATCTACTCGCCGAAGCTTTCGAACTGCTGGTGGATGGCGAGCTGGGGACAAGGCTGGTAGCTCACACCAGCGCGGGCTAGAACTGACAGCAACTCTGTTCAGTTCCGATGTCAACCAGAGGATAATCCTCTGTGCCACTGTTAAAGAGATGTTCCAACACCCCTTTCCTCCAAGCTTCACTGTTTGGTGGAACAAACAAATCATCCTTTGCCTTTGTTAAATACTGGGTTCCATGGATGGTCTGTCACCAAGCCTAGTGATCAGCTCAGCTTTATTAGTGATTCAGCAAGAACAATACAAAGACCCAGGGCAACGCCCCTGTTTGAATAGCATGCAAACTCCACCCACTTCCCAAACAACTACCAACGATAGGCTGTTGTCAGAACCATTCATTCCTCATTGGCCACCTCCAGAGTCCTGGTGGGCTATTGTTCTAGAGCGTCAAGCTCACAGTCTCTGGTAGAAACAGTCCTGGAATGTTCCAGTTCCAGTACAGGACAAAGAAGAAAAAAGGGGGAAAAACTGAACCTAAACCTAGAACTCAGAACCTAAAAAGGTTAGGAATAGAAAAGGGCCAACTTTAAAAATCTAATCATAAAATATACAAAAATATGTGTGTGTGTTTATTCAACATGGCCCTTGTATGTTTTTATAGTTTTATATGAGGTATGAATGGGCCCTTGTTTGTTATTTTAATTTATATTGAATAAACACACATATATATTTTTGTATATTTTATGATTAGATTTTTAAAGTTGGCCCTTTTCTACTCCTGACTAACCTTTTCCAGTCCCAGTACAGAACAGCCTTGTTAAAAGGAAGATTTTTTAAAAAATAACCTGCAAACGACATGGGCCAGTGGGTGCCATTTGCAGCCATATTCTACCTCAGACTTGTTGCAGATCTCCCCTTGAGAGCCCTTTTCAGCTGCAGGAGGAGAGACGCATTTGTGCTGAATGCAGCCGGGATGCCTCTAAACCAACCAAAACGTTTTTGAAAGTGGAGCCTCCATTATGCAAACCCACTTGGTCGTAGTCCAGCTGGAACATCTGCGCTTGCTTTATTGAAATAAACTGAGATAACTCCCCATTAAAATTGGGAGCTTTTGGCTGAAAGGCTGGGTATAAATTTCGCTAATAAATGTATTTAAATATAAATTAAAATGTACTTTTGAAAAGAGTCTCAGCGAAGCCGCACACCGTTATTAAATAGCTCACACTGTACTTTGACTATACTGTTTTTTTTGTAAAACAATTTTATTAGGATATACTAATAAGTAAAATTTTAAGTCATCTAACAAATCATTCATATCCTTTTATCCAAATATCAACTACCCCCCATTCTGACTTCCCACAGTGCTCAAACCTCTATTACATTCTTGAATTTTTTCTCCTTTTCCCATTCTTTAATAATATAGTTCTTTCAGGTAACGTATCTTTTTATCTGTTGATCTATGTATGTTTAGTTTTAATCTAAATGTCCTTCCAACCCTAATAATTGTCAAGGCAAAATACTGTTAAAAGCCACGTGGACTACAACACAACAAAGATACGCTCAAGGTAGGGTTGCAAAAAACTTCGCCATACAGAAGGTAACATTACAATCAGAATCTGAAAGAAGCCAACTGATCTTAGGTTCGATTGTCGTACTAGACTCTGGAATTAGAGAAAATAAAGGCAAAAGGAACTTCTTCCTAGCTTCAGCTCTCAGGGGGCAGTCAAATACAATACGTGCTGTGGTCTCTCAATCCTTTCCGCAGGGTACGAGCAAGTCCTTTCAGAATAAGGAATCCTTGAATAACATCCAGTTAACACCGCTGATGGTAAAGCGTTCATTTGAGCCATCGTAAAAGCTCGTCGTAACTCGGGGACCATCAATGTGTATAAATATCTTGGTATCCTAGTGCAAAAGGAAAACAAACTCCTCAGGCACGGAAACATGTCCTATTATACTCCAGTTTTAAAATATACTGTCCTTGATTATTTTATAAAGCTCACTAGTAGGTGAGCTGGCAATCACGTACATTGGCCAATGCAAAGCAGACAACTTCGAATCCGTGAG